ATTCCTTTGGCAACACTTCAAGCATACAATGGTTTAAATTAGCACAGAACAACATTCATGGAAGAATTCCAACTGAATTAGACAACTTCCTAATCTAAAGATGTTTTCCTTGAACTCTAATCATCTCACAGGTTCGATAACCTCCTACAATTTTTTATTAGTATTCTTCTACAATCATTGAAATTTACTTTAATTCTAAAATGTCTTTCTTTGGGAAGTCTTCGAACTACTATTGGGCTTTTGGCTCTCCCATCTTGAAGAGCTTGAATTGCAAGTCAATCAACTAACTAACTGGGCATACATGAAAATATAGGGTACGATTTCTCTCAAGTTTATAAAGGCTTGTGAGGCCCATCATAAATTTTGTTTTGATGATCCAAACAGTTCATTTCGTAAAAAATTTTATATATATTATTCATAAAAAAAAATTTAAGTCAATCAAATCGTAACTTTTTTATTCTATTGTATTTGTCTCAAAAAAAAAAAAAAAACAAATGGTGTATTTTATAAAGCATATTTATCGTCTATTTTTTAAAAAACAAATTTACAATTATCACATCAACTTAATTTTTTCTATTGATGGCATAGACTAAGAGCCTTACAAAATTAATAATTTAAAATATCGAAACGAGACACTTAGTCTACGAAACAATTTAAATCATCCAAAATGTAAATGGCTGGAAACATGTTAAGATTATCACAACCCACACACATTTCTTTTTACTTCCCTCAAATTGTTGAACATTTTGAGTCAAAACGTTGGGAGTTTGAATGTTATCATGTTTGGTTGATTCTCCAAGTCATTATAAAGTGAATGGTTCGGATAATCAAGTTCCACCTAAAAATCAAGTTCCACCCAAAAACAGGATCAATAAGCCCAATTGCTTTGTCAAGTTGCATGGCCAACCTAAGAGAATAGTTTGTGGTTTGGTGGATTTATTTTGAGGCCAAAATCTCTCAATGAGCCTTAAAAAGTGAACAGTTCTGATCATCAAGGCCGACCCCAAAATGGGCTCACTAAGCGCAACTACTCTCTCAAGTTAGATGGCCAACTAAAGAAAATCCAATTTTTTTTTTTTTTCTTTTTTAAGTAGAAGCTAGCTAGAAAAAAAATCCAAAAAAATATTTTTGAGGTTATTAAAATTTATTTTTACCCCCTAAAAAGAGCAAATGATGAGTGTTTTTTTTTTTTAACTTAGTTTTTTAACAAAAGTAGATTTTAGGATTTTTTTTTTTATTTTTTTATTTAAGGATAAACAAATTTTGAAAACTCAACCAAGCATGTCAATACTACCATAGTTTATTATAACAATGCTACATTTATCATTTTTTTAAACATATTTTGCTTATCACATAACTGTTGATGTAATGGATCTCACATGTGTCATCTAATATCTAGTCAATGTAAATGTACCTAATATCTAATCAATGTAAATGTACCGAGAATTCTATGATGTATACCCTTAAATGGGAACAATAATTATTACGCTACTTTGTAGCGTTAATTATGTTCATAAAAGTCACTACTGAGAGAAATTATGTAAAGTGAAAATTGCAAACCATTGTGATTATGTTATGAACAATGTGATAGTTACAAACTATTATGATGAGAAAAGTTACGACATATTTTGGTATTAGTTATGAAATATTGTGACTATGTTGCATATATTATGATAGGTGCATACAGGATGCCCCTTAGTAAGAGTGCACATCATAACAACACCCAAATAAAAAATAAAACAAATGTTGTACGAAAAATGGTAAAATCAAAAAGCATTTATAGATCATGTGCCCTCAAAATCTTACAACGATTATGAGAACTGTATTTTCAACATCAACATATTTTCAAATTGCGCACAATTCTTTCTTATACCTATCTTCTTGACAAGACATGCGAAAATCATGACATTGCACATTTTCTAGGTACATACATGAGTCTCTTGAGAACCTTATGCAGATGCTTATAAGGACTTATCCTAGAACAATTTTGAACGATGATTCTTCTAAATGTTTCAAAGGAAGGCCACATTCCCAAAATATATATATATATATATATTCCAACAGAATGTTTATTTGGATTTATCATGAAACAAATTCAATCATCACTTGTTTATTTAAACTTTTCAAATGTTACAGGTCCAATTCCACCTGGGTTGTTTACTATTTCGTTATTGTCGTAGTCAACTCTTGATGTTAATCAACTCACTGGTCAACTCCAAGAATTAAAAAATAATTCATTGGAATTGTTAGATTTGTGCAACAATGAACTACGTGGCCCCATCCCACGACTAGTAGCGATTTATTTTTTAATCTTGAACAATAAATTCATTGGAGCGATCCCTTCAGCGATTTGCAATGTTAGTTCCCTTGAGATCTTTGATTTGTCTCACAATAGTCAAGTGTAATTCCACAATGTCTAGGAAATTTCAGCAATGTACTCAGTGTTAGATCTTAGAATGAGTAACTTTCACGGCAACATTCTGGCATCATTTGCAAAGGGAAACAAGTAGACGAATATTGATTTAAATGGAAATCATTTGGAAACATGTAGACACTCTCAGGTTCTAGACTTTGGAAACAAGAAGATAAATTACACATTTCCCTACTGGTTGAAAACTCTTCCAAAGTTGCAAGTCCTTGTCTTTCAATCCAATAAATTTCATGGTCCCATGAGCTCTTCCAAAACTCAACTACCCTTTCCTAAACTTCGAATCTTGGATCTCTCTCACAATGAGTTTAGTGGCTTTTTGCCAACAACATATTTCAAGCATTTCAAAGCTATGACGATCATCAATGAAACTGTGGGACTAAGATATATGGGGGAATCTTATTATCATGATTCAGTGACAATCATGATAAAGGGTCTTGAGATTGAATTACCAGGAATTCTAACAATTTTCACGACAATTGACTTATCACACAACAAATTTGGAGGAGAGATTCCAAACGTCACTGGAAAGATTCATCCACATCGATTGCTTATCTCACAACCTTGTTGGCAATATCCCTTCATCATTGGGAAATCTATGTTTGCTTGAATCGTTGGACCTCTTCAAACCAACTTTCTGGTAACATTCATAACCAATTGACAAGATTGACATTTCTTGGAATTATAATAGCTCGTATGATAGCAACTTGGCATTATGTGGATTTCCACTAACAAAGGAATGTGAAGATAATCAGATACAACAACATCCAACGCCTATGTTGCACAAGGAGGATGATCCAACTTTTGCAAGTGCATTTAATTGGAAAGTGGTACGGATGGGGTACAGATGTGGAATGGTATTGGGGTAAAGGGATATCTTGTGTTCTTAATTGGAAAACCAAAGTGGTTTGTAAGAATTGCTGAAGGAGAACATAAGAAAAGGAAAAGGTTACACAAATGTGGTAACAAACACAATGGAAGAAGAAAGTAGTAAACACAAATGTCATGTCAGGTATGTAATGCTTTGCCTCTTGTTTTTCATTGTGAGATGAATATAGAATTTCTATTTTATAATGGTAAGAGAGGTTAAGTGATGTTTCTCACATTGTACCACGCTACAAAAAAGTAAGATTTGTGCAAAAAAAGTCGTCATTCACTTGAGTAACTTCAAATAAGCTTACTGATATAGCAGCAGGAAATGCAAGCTTTGCACAAGGTAATTAAAGTAACATCATGGTTACTATGAAAGGTAAATGCATAGAGTTACTAGATTGATTTGGAAACAAAGCCAAATAATAACTCTATTTTAATTAGTGAATGAACGTTGTGTACTATTAATGAAGTATAATGCTATAATGATCATACACAAACTGGTTTAACGAAACAACATTATACACAATACATTGATTGCCACTGAAAATACCATGTTCATGCATCATGAGACCAAACCCTAACCTTTCCAATGCACGTTATGTTCCTGTTTGGATCAACTTCGACTATTGATTTTATTTCTCTTTTTTCTCAAAAAACAGAAAAACTCACAAATGGATTACAATTCTTAAATGTTTATTCCCGGAAAAGTGGTGAACGAATATAACTGCATTCCAAGAATTAATAGCTTGAAAATATCAGACAATCCAATTATATATAGATCAAAACATTGTGGGAAATAAATGGCAATGCCCTACCAAGAATACATCAAATATCCAAAACATTTTATCATGAAATTGCTCCTAATATGGCCTAAAGTCACTTCAGTCCCTTGGTTTCTTTGTTTTCTAAATAAGAATATGAAGCAACACTTCAGTCATCACTGAAATGTTATTCTCTAAATAAATTACCAGGTCCTCAAATGGCGAAGAGAAAGAAAAAGTTTAATCGACTTCAATTATTGCCATTATTTTTTAGGACTGCAGAGCACAAAACATGGAGGGAAAACTTAGGAGAAAATTATTCATCATGTATCATAATTACACCAGATGCTGGAAAGCAAGAAGATCAAGTTTTAGAAATAATTCCATTTAGATGTCCTGCTTTATATACACTGTCAACAACATAAAGTTAGAGATGTAGGATCAGGAGAATTGACAACTCAACAGAATCATTATGCTCAGTGACTTGTTAAAATGAGTAACAAATCAAAGCATGTTCCAATTGCTAATTAAAACTATTCTGCATTGAATTGACTCTACAGGAAAAGAAGGAAAAAAATATAGAAGAGCAGGGAGCAAGAAGTCACCAAAAAGTGTAGCTTCAATTTTCAACAAGAAACTAACATTTTGTTTTTCTTCTTGATGCAATTTCAGAGGCCCAAGACTTGCCCAGTTCAGTCTGGAACTTCCCTATAGAAAGTATATCAAGCATTGGTAAGTAACAGATCAACATACAATGTTTTTGTTTAAAGTAGATATTTCATTTAACCTAAAAATAAATCTCATGTTAGTTGAGAAATGGGTAGCAAAAACAATATCAAATGAACATCCCTGTATAATTTTGCAACATGAAAAAGAGAACCCAATTGATGAGAACTTATGATAATACACCAAAACAAGCAAATTTTCACATTACTTGTTTTTTATTTATTAATTTTTTGTGGATATATTCCCAGGAATAGGTGGCTAAATATGCCTCACCAAAACAAGCAAAGTTCATTGTGATAAACATTGTGTGACCAACCAACCCAAATGATTTCTCGATGCCCGTAGCAATGAAACATTACTTGGTTTTGGTACTGAAATATATACATGCACTGCATCATGGAGATACACTCAAAATACATCAATTGTATAACATAAGACTCAGTATATCAATTTTATAACATTACAGGTTTGGCCAAGTAGCAATGCCCTGCATTTTTAAACCAACCATGGAGCACTCAATGATACAACAACAAAGCTCTATTTCAACCCAGAAAAGAAGAAACAGGGGTTGGAAGTCGAGCCATATTTTATCAAGAGTTTTATGTACCAAGTGGAAAACAGCAGTCGAATTGACATGCATAATCAGCTAAAATTTACCGTGGGAAAAGATTATGCAAAGGGAGATCAAAAGCTCTACCCTTATGACCAATGACCTGGTCATTACAATTAGATAAAACAGCTAATTAATTGATTGAAACCATTTCTGAAAATCTTGTTTAGAAAAATTAAGAGCATTAATAGGGCAATACTTAGTTGCATGAAAGCGGGGGCAGAAGTGGGGACACAAAAAATAGTCTAAGATTGAAGGCGCCTAGGGAAGCGTTGATGTATTTTATATATAAATATATATTGAAGAAATAATTTGTTGTTTGGTTGTAATATACATGGTAATGTATACATGGTAATGTTTACATTCCACTACCACGTAAACTGTTAAACAAAAGTATACTAAATTCTCATTACCAAAATAACAATTCTCATTACAAATTCTTTCTTTTTTTGGTAATGAAATTCTTCAATGATAAAAATGCAGTTACTCCCCTTCAGAAGTACATTTTAAAACCAATTTTAAAGAGCACAAAAAGTCATACAAGTTATTGAAAACCACATCCTCTACTAGCTGATAACATAGATACACAATCTAGGTCTCATTTCTCTGAACTTTCTTGAAGTCCACTTTAGTTATAAATATATGTCAAACTATCATATACGATAATGTATAGCATAACCAACTTATTCAATACTATTTATATATATAAATGTCAAATGTTTCCTGTAATAAATAGTTTAAACATTATTATTTATTACTAATTCATAACATGTCATAAAGGATCCGAGCCGCTTTTTTACGTGTTGGTTGTCGGCTACGTAACATGTGTTGCTGAGATGAGGATGCTAAGATGGATATGTGGCAAGACCAGAAAAAACAGAGTTAGGAATGAGTATATTCGAGAATGGATAGGAGTAGTACCGATAGAAGATAAATTGAGAGAGAATAGATTGAAATGGTTTGGTCATATACAACAAAGACCAACAGAGACAGTATTGAAGAGATGCAATACAGTGACGGTAGATGGTAGTTTTAGGGGAGGAGGTAGGCCTAGATTGACGTGTACTAGCGTAGTAAATAGAGATATAAATCTCTTTAATTTGACTAACAAAATGGCCTTGGATAGAGTCGAGTGGAAAAGAAGAATTCATGCAGCCGATCCCATTTGATGGGACTTAAGACTAGGTTTGGTTTGGTTTGATTACTAATTCATAACATATAAAAAGGTTCTTTTAAGAAAATGGACAAGACATAAAACATAACAAATTCTTATTCAAGAACGGAAGAGTTGTATCTTGGATTAAATGTATCCTGATGGAGAAATGTTCACAGCTATTGGTGAATATGACAATATACGTCACATTATCATGTTCAGGCACTTTAGTATCACATGAACTTCATAATATCTTTAGCATTTGAACCAGTACACCATAACTATATGATATTTGACGCATGAAATGAAGTCTTATTAGAGAACCAAGCATATCCAAATGCAT